TTCGCGCGGTTTAGGATGGAATTCGTGCGGTTTAGGATGGAATTCGTGCGGTTTAGGATGGAATTCACACAGTTTAGGATGGAATTCGTGCGGTTTAGGATGGAATTCGTGCGGTTTAGGATGGAATTCACACAGTTTAGGATGGAATTCGCGCGGTTTAGGATGGAATTCGCACGGTTTAGGATGGAATTCGTGCGGTTTAGGATGGAATTCGCACGGTTTAGGATGGAATTCGCACGGTTTAGGATGGAATTCGTGCGGTTTAGGATGGAATTCGCACGGTTTAGGATGGAATTCGCACGGTTTAGGATGGAATTCGTGCGGTTTAGGATGGAATTCGTGCGGTTTAGGATGGAATTCGCACGGTTTAGGATGGAATTCGTGCGGTTTAGGATGGAATTCGTGCGGTTTAGGATGGAATTCACACAGTTTAGGATGGAATTCGTGCGGTTTAGGATGGAATTCGTGCGGTTTAGGATGGAATTCACACAGTTTAGGATGGAATTCGTGCGGTTTAGGATGGAATTCGCACGGTTTAGGATGGAATTCGTGCGGTTTAGGATGGAATTCACACAGTTTAGGATGGAATTCGCACGGTTTAGGATGGAATTCGCACGGTTTAGGATGGAATTCGTGCGGTTTAGGATGGAATTCGTGCGGTTTAGGATGGAATTCGTGCGGTTTAGGATGGAATTCGTGCGGTTTAGGATGGAATTCGCGCGGTTTAGGATGGAATTCGTGCGGTTTAGGATGGAATTCGTGCGGTTTAGGATGGAATTCGTGCGGTTTAGGATGGAATTCGTGCGGTTTAGGATGGAATTCGCACGGTTTAGGATGGAATTCGTGCGGTTTAGGATGGAATTCGCGCGGTTTAGGATGGAATTCGTGCGGTTTAGGATGGAATTCGTGCGGTTTAGGATGGAATTCGTGCGGTTTAGGATGGAATTCGCACGGTTTAGGATGGAATTCGCGCGGTTTAGGATGGAATTCGCACGGTTTAGGATGGAATTCGTGCGGTTTAGGATGGAATTCACACAGTTTAGGATGGAATTCACACAGTTTAGGATGGAATTCACACAGTTTAGGATGGAATTCACACAGTTTAGGATGGAATTCACACAGTTTAGGATGGAAGTCGCTCGATTTAGTATAACACCATAAATGTGTTTTGTATAGTATTATACTTATAACGGGAGTCAAGCCACACTGGATATTGGGGTCGCCAAACAGTCGACACTTAGCAATTAAGAAGTCACACCTTTAGAGATTTAATGGTCCCATGTTGAGTGAGGGTCAGGTTGTGTGAAGTGACCTTGCTTTCTCAGCCAGTTGTCTGTTGAGTGAGGGTCAGGTTGTGTGAAGTGACCTTGCTTTCTCAGCCAGTTGTCTGTTGAGTGAGGGTCAGGTTGTGTGAAGTGACCTTGCTTTCTCAGCCAGTTGTCTGTTGAGTGAGGGTCAGGTTGTGTGAAGTGACCTTGCTTTCTCAGCCAGTTGTCTGTTGAGTCAGGGTCAGGTTGTGTGAAGTGACCTTGCTTTCTCAGCCAGTTGTCTGTGTCTTTACATCAAACAAGCCGCTGTCTATGTGGGGAGGTAAATAGATATCTTCCTCTTGAGGTTATCTTGAGGTTATCTTGAGATGATTTCGGGGCTTTTAGTGTCCCCGCGGCCCGGTCCTCGACCAGGCCTCCACCCCCAGGAAGCAGCCCGTGACAGCTGACTAACACCCAGGTACCTATTTTACTGTTAGGTAACAGGGGCATAGGGTGAAAGAAACTCTGCCCATTGTTTCTCGCCGGCGCCTGGGATAGAACCCAGGACCACAGGATCACAAGTCCAGCGTGCTGTCCGCTCGGCCGTCCGTCTAGATGTAGGTAGATATCTCGTGCTTGGCAGAGCTTAGCTCCCGGTTCCCGCATGTATAGTACACTTGAGACATTGAGCAGGATAGCGGTAGATAGATCACTTGTCGAGAGGTTCTCGCAGCCAGATTAGACCCATCCCAGGCTACTTCTATGTTGAGGGGTTTTCTTGAGATGATTTCGGGGCTTAGCGTACCTGCGGCCCGGTCCTTGACCAGGTTTCCTTTTTGTTACCCCCCCCCCCACAAGGAAGCAGCCCGTAGCAGCTGTATAACTCCCAGGTACTAGGTGAACAGGTGCATCAGGGTTAAATAAACTGTCCCTCATTTGTTTCCGCCTCCACCGGGGAACGAACCCGAAACCTCAGGATTACGAATCCGAAACGCTGTCTACTCAGCTGTCAGGCTCCCTGACAGCCCGGGTGGGGACTCTGTCAGCCATAACCCCTCTCCCCCCCCCCCCTCCTTCTCTATCAAACTTACTCTCAGAGACTTTACTTAGTGAACTTGTAAGCTGACTTATAGAGTTCCAACTTAGGTGATGTGTGATGTTGAGGTGTAGTGAGACGTATAGTGCCCTCAGTGTCTTGTGTCGTGACTCAAGTTGTGTATTGTTAACATAGTCAACATTAAGTGAAATGGGAGCCGGTCGGCCGAGCGAACAGCACACTGGACTTGTAATCCTGTGGTCCCGGGTTCGATCCCGGGCGCCGGCGAGAAACAATGGGCAGAGTTTCTTTTACCCTATGCCCCTGTTACCTAGCAGTAAAATAGGTACCTGGGTGTTAGTCAGCTGTCACGGGCTGCTTCCTGGGGGTGGAGGCCTGGTCGAGGACCGGGCCGCGGGAACACTAAAGCCCCGAAATCATCTCAAGATAACCTCAAGATGAGTGAAGTATAAGACCCACAAGAGTCAATATATAATTAACTTATTTGTGTAAATTGTCTTAAATTGTGATCCAAAGATCTTGGATTTTGAGACCTAGAGTGACGAGCACTCTGAAGCTTACTGGCTTAAGACTTTGATCTAAAGATTCTTGGTTATAAGCGTTATATGAGTATAGCGGATATATGATAACATCAGGTAATGTTGTTGTTGGGAGCAAGCCAGCTGTGGTGTACTAGGTGGTGTGGAAGCAAGCCAGGTGTGGTGTGGGAGCAAGCCAGGTGTGGTGTGGGAGCAAGCCAGGTGTGGTGTGGGAGCAAGCTAGGTATTGGGGACATGTGATCATTAAGGCCGAAGCCCGGCAACACAATTAAATCCGAACATAGACCCTTGGGCGATGGCAAGTTAGGGCTTTGATGGGGCGAGCAGGTCCCTATCATCTCTCTCTCTCTCTCTCTCTCTCTCTCTCTCTCTCTCTCTCTCTCTCTCTCTCTCTCTCTCTCTCTCTCTCTCTCTCGGGGGGGGGGGGGGGGAATAAGGGCTAACAAAGACCCTATTCAAAATAGTGAAGCATCCTAGGACAAGTTGTAATTAGTGTGGTAGTGTGTGGGGCTGGAGTGGACAATGGTCGGTGGTGCAAGTGTCTGGTGGTTCACCAGGCCACCACCATCATTGTTCCTCTCCCACCACACTGCACCACGCATCTGAACACTCCCCTCCACCCTCCCTTCCTCTCTCTCTCTCACTTCTTCCTGCACCAGTTTTGTGTGTGTGTGTGTGTGTGTGTGTGTGTGTGTGTGTGTCCCATTTCCAGTGACCTACTATACACCTTGGAGAGTGGCAAGCAAAGTGCTTCTGCACACTCTTTCAGTATCCATGGCGAGATCCCGTCTAGACCAACAGCCTTTCTAACATCCAGGTCCAGCACGTGTCTCTTGACCTCATCTCTTGTAATTTCGAACTCTTCCAAGGCCGCCTGGTTTACTGCCACCTCTCTTAGCGCAGTGACCTTTCCTCCCTCTGTTGTGAAGACCTCCTGGAACCTCTTGTTGAGTTCTTCACACACCTCTTTGTCATTCTATGTACCTGTCCTCACCTGTTCCAATTTTCATCACCTGTTTCTTAACTGTTGTTTTCCTCCTGATGTGACTGAGTAGTAGCTTCGGTTCGGTCTTTATTTGCTATATCATTTTCATAATTTTTCTCAGCTGCTCTTCTCACACTAACATACTCGTTCCTGGTTCTCTGGTATCTCTCTCTGCTTTCTGGTGTTCTGTTATTACGGAAGTTCCTCAACGCCCTTTTGTTCAGTACCTTTGCTTCCATACATGCCCTATTAAACCACGGATTCTTCCTTTGCTTCTCGTTTTTTTTCCTTTCAGACCGGGATAAACCATTTTAATGCCTCCTGGCACTTTTGGGTGACATAGTCCATCATGTCTTGATGGACTATGTTCATGTTGTGTCCCATCGTATATCCCTTAGGAATTTTCTCATTTCCTCGTAGTTTCCCTTTAGGTTTGCCAGCCTTTTGTTTCCTAGTTCTTTTTGGGGGGAGATAAATCCTAGCTCTACCAGGTACTCTAAGATCAGTATACTGTGATCACTCATTCCCAAGGGTGCTTCCAACTTAACTTCCCTTATACCCCCACTCATTTAGGGTAAATATCAGATCAAGCATTGCTGGTTCATCCTCTCCTCTCATTCTTGTTGGATCCTTGATGTGCTGGCTTAGAAAGTTTCTTGTTGCCACGTCCAGCAGCTTAGCTCTCCATGTTTTTGGTCCTCCATGCGGTTTAGGATGGAATTCGCGCGGTTTAGGATGGAATTCGCAAGGGTTAGGATGGAATTCGTGCGGTTTAGGATGGAATTCGCGCGGTTTAGGATGGAATTCGCACGGTTTAGGATGGAATTCGTGCGGTTTAGGATGGAATTCGCGCGGTTTAGGATGGAATTCGCAAGGGTTAGGATGGAATTCGCACGGTTTAGGATGGAATTCGCAAGGGTTAGGATGGAATTCACACAGTTTAGGATGGAATTCGCACGGTTTAGGATGGAATTCACACAGTTTAGGATGGAATTCACACAGTTTAGGATGGAATTCACACAGTTTAGGATGGAAGTCGCACGATTTAGTATAACACCATAAATGTGTTTTGTATAGTATTATACTTATAACGGGAGTCAAGCCACACTGGATATTGGGGTCGCCAAACAGTCGACACTTAGCAATTAAGAAGTCACACCTTTAGAGATTTAATGGTCCCATGTTGAGTGAGGGTCAGGTTGTGTGAAGTGACCTTGCTTTCTCAGCCAGTTGTCTGTTGAGTGAGGGTCAGGTTGTGTGAAGTGACCTTGCTTTCTCAGCCAGTTGTCTGTTGAGTGAGGGTCAGGTTGTGTGAAGTGACCTTGCTTTCTCAGCCAGTTGTCTGTTGAGTCAGGGTCAGGTTGTGTGAAGTGACCTTGCTTTCTCAGCCAGTTGTCTGTTGAGTGAGGGTCAGGTTGTGTGAAGTGACCTTGCTTTCTCAGCCAGTTGTCTGTTGAGTGAGGGTCAGGTTGTGTGAAGTGACCTTGCTTTCTCAGCCAGTTGTCTGTTGAGTGAGGGTCAGGTTGTGTGAAGTGACCTTGCTTTCTCAGCCAGTTGTCTGTTGAGTGAGGGTCAGGTTGTGTGAAGTGACCTTGCTTTCTCAGCCAGTTGTCTGTTGAGTGAGGGTCAGGTTGTGTGAAGTGACCTTGCTTTCTCAGCCAGTTGTCTGTTGAGTGAGGGTCAGGTTGTGTGAAGTGACCTTGCTTTCTCAGCCAGTTGTCTGTTGAGTGAGGGTCAGGTTGTGTGAAGTGACCTTGCTTTCTCAGCCAGTTGTCTGTGTCTTTACATCAGACAAGCCGCTGTCTATGTGGGGAGGTAAATAGATATCTTCCTCTTGAGGTTATCTTGAGGTTATCTTGAGATGATTTCGGGGCTTTTAGTGTCCCCGCGGCCCGGTCCTCGACCAGGCCTCCACCCCCAGGAAGCAGCCCGTGACAGCTGACTAACACCCAGGTACCTATTTTACTGTTAGGTAACAGGGGCATAGGGTGAAAGAAACTCTGCCCATTGTTTCTCGCCGGCGCCTGGGATAGAACCCAGGACCACAGGATCACAAGTCCAGCGTGCTGTCCGCTCGGCCGTCCGTCTAGATGTAGGTAGATATCTCGTGCTTGGCAGAGCTTAGCTCCCGGTTCCCGCATATATAGTACACTTGAGACATTGAGCAGGATAGCGGTAGATAGATCACTTGTCGAGAGGTTCTCGCAGCCAGATTAGACCCATCCCAGGCTACTTCTATGTTGAGGGGTTTTCTTGAGATGATTTCGGGGCTTAGCGTACCTGCGGCCCGGTCCTTGACCAGGTTTCCTTTTTGTTACCCCCCCCCCACAAGGAAGCAGCCCGTAGCAGCTGTATAACTCCCAGGTACTAGGTGAACAGGTGCATCAGGGTTAAATAAACTGTCCCTCATTTGTTTCCGCCTCCACCGGGGAACGAACCCGAAACCTCAGGATTACGAATCCGAAACGCTGTCTACTCAGCTGTCAGGCCCCTGACAGCCCGGGTGGGGACTCTGTCAGCCATAACCCCTCTCCCCCCCCCCCCTCCTTCTCTATCAAACTTACTCTCAGAGACTTTACTTAGTGAACTTGTAAGCTGACTTATAGAGTTCCAACTTAGGTGATGTGTGATGTTGAGGTGTAGTGAGACGTATAGTGCCCTCAGTGTCTTGTGTCGTGACTCAAGTTGTGTATTGTTAACATAGTCAACATTAAGTGAAATGGGAGCCGGTCGGCCGAGCGAACAGCACACTGGACTTGTAATCCTGTGGTCCCGGGTTCGATCCCGGGCGCCGGCGAGAAACAATGGGCAGAGTTTCTTTTACCCTATGCCCCTGTTACCTAGCAGTAAAATAGGTACCTGGGTGTTAGTCAGCTGTCACGGGCTGCTTCCTGGGGGTGGAGGCCTGGTCGAGGACCGGGCCGCGGGAACACTAAAGCCCCGAATCATCTCAAGATAACCTCAAGATGAGTGAAGTATAAGACCCACAAGAGTCAATATATAATTAACTTATTTGTGTAAATTGTCTTAATTGTGATCCAAAGATCTTGGATTTTGAGACCAAGAGTGACGAGCACTCTGAAGCTTACTGGCTTAAGACTTTGATCTAAAGATTCTTGGTTATAAGACTTATATGAGTATAGCGGATATATGATAACATCAGGTAATGTTGTTGTTGGGAGCAAGCCAGCTGTGGTGTACTAGGTGGTGTGGAAGCAAGCCAGGTGTGGTGTGGGAGCAAGCCAGGTGTGGTGTGGGAGCAAGCCAGGTGTGGTGTGGGAGCAAGCTAGGTATTGGGGACATGTGATCATTAAGGCCGAAGCCCGGCAACACAATTAAATCCGAACATAGACCCTTGGGCGATGGCAAGTTAGGGCTTTGATGGGGCGAGCAGGTCCCTATCATCTCTCTCTCTCTCTCTCTCTCTCTCTCTCTCTCTCTCTCTCTCTCTCTCTCTCTCTCTCTCTCTCTCTCTCTCTCTCTCTCGGGGGGGGGGGGGGGGGGGGGGGTGAATAAGGGCTAACAAAGACCCTATTCAAAATAGTGAAGCATCCTAGGACAAGTTGTAATTAGTGTGGTAGTGTGGGGGCTGGAGTGGACAATGGTCGGTGGTGCAAGTGTCTGGTGGTTCACCAGGCCACCACCATCATTGTTCCTCTCCCACCACACTGCACCACGCATCTGAACACTCCCCTCCACCCTCCCTTCCTCTCTCTCTCTCACTTCTTCCTGCACCAGTTTTGTGTGTGTGTGTGTGTGTGTGTCCCATTTCCAGTGACCTACTATACACCTTGGAGAGTGGCAAGCAAAGTGCTTCTGCACACTCTTTCAGTATCCATGGCGAGATCCCGTCTAGACCAACAGCCTTTCTAACATCCAGGTCCAGCACGTGTCTCTTGACCTCATCTCTTGTAATTTCGAACTCTTCCAAGGCCGCCTGGTTTACTGCCACCTCTCTTAGCGCAGTGACCTTTCCTCCCTCTGTTGTGAAGACCTCCTGGAACCTCTTGTTGAGTTCTTCACACACCTCTTTGTCATTCTATGTACCTGTCCTCACCTGTTCCAATTTTCATCACCTGTTTCTTAACTGTTGTTTTCCTCCTGATGTGACTGAGTAGTAGCTTCGGTTCGGTCTTTATTGCTATATCATTTTCATAATTTTTCTCAGCTGCTCTTCTCACACTAACATACTCGTTCCTGGTTCTCTGGTATCTCTCTCTGCTTTCCTGGTGTTCTGTTATTACGGAAGTTCCTCAACGCCCTTTTGTTCAGTACCTTTGCTTCCATACATGCCCTATTAAACCACGGATTCTTCCTTTGCTTCTCGTTTTTTTTTCCTTTCAGACCGGGATAAACCATTTTAATGCCTCCTGGCACTTTTGGGTGACATAGTCCATCATGTCTTGATGGACTATGTTCATGTTGTGTCCCATCGTATATCCCTTAGGAATTTTCTCATTTCCTCGTAGTTTCCCTTTAGGTTTGCCAGCCTTTTGTTTCCTAGTTCTTTTGGGGGGAGATAAATCCTAGCTCTACCAGGTACTCTAAGATCAGTATACTGTGATCACTCATTCCCAAGGGTGCTTCCAACTTAACTTCCCTTATACCCCACTCATTTAGGGTAAATATCAGATCAAGCATTGCTGGTTCATCCTCTCCTCTCATTCTTGTTGGATCCTTGATGTGCTGGCTTAGAAAGTTTCTTGTTGCCACGTCCAGCAGCTTAGCTCTCCATGTTTTTGGTCCTCCATGCGGTTTAGGATGGAATTCACACGGTTTAGGATGGAATTCGCGCGGTTTAGGATGGAATTCACACGGTTTAGGATGGAATTCGCGCGGTTTAGGATGGAATTCACACGGTTTAGGATGGAATTCGCGCGGTTTAGGATGGAATTCACACGGTTTAGGATGGAATTCGCGCGGTTTAGGATGGAATTCGCGCGGTTTAGGATGGAATTCGCGCGGTTTAGGATGGAATTCGCGCGGTTTAGGATGGAATTCGCGCGGTTTAGGATGGAATTCGCGCGGTTTAGGATGGAATTCACACGGTTTAGGATGGAATTCGCGCGGTTTAGGATGGAATTCGCGCGGTTTAGGATGGAATTCACACAGTTTAGGATGGAATTCACACAGTTTAGGATGGAATTCACACAGTTTAGGATGGAAGTCGCTCGATTTAGTATAACACCATAAATGTGTTTTGTATAGTATTATACTTATAACGGGAGTCAAGCCACACTGGATATTGGGGTCGCCAAACAGTCGACACTTAGCAATTAAGAAGTCACACCTTTAGAGATTTAATGGTCCCATGTTGAGTGAGGGTCAGGTTGTGTGAAGTGACCTTGCTTTCTCAGCCAGTTGTCTGTTGAGTGAGGGTCAGGTTGTGTGAAGTGACCTTGCTTTCTCAGCCAGTTGTCTGTTGAGTGAGGGTCAGGTTGTGTGAAGTGACCTTGCTTTCTCAGCCAGTTGTCTGTTGAGTGAGGGTCAGGTTGTGTGAAGTGACCTTGCTTTCTCAGCCAGTTGTCTGTTGAGTGAGGGTCAGGTTGTGTGAAGTGACCTTGCTTTCTCAGCCAGTTGTCTGTTGAGTGAGGGTCAGGTTGTGTGAAGTGACCTTGCTTTCTCAGCCAGTTGTCTGTTGAGTGAGGGTCAGGTTGTGTGAAGTGACCTTGCTTTCTCAGCCAGTTGTCTGTTGAGTGAGGGTCAGGTTGTGTGAAGTGACCTTGCTTTCTCAGCCAGTTGTCTGTTGAGTGAGGGTCAGGTTGTGTGAAGTGACCTTGCTTTCTCAGCCAGTTGTCTGTTGAGTGAGGGTCAGGTTGTGTGAAGTGACCTTGCTTTCTCAGCCAGTTGTCTGTTGAGTGAGGGTCAGGTTGTGTGAAGTGACCTTGCTTTCTCAGCCAGTTGTCTGTTGAGTGAGGGTCAGGTTGTGTGAAGTGACCTTGCTTTCTCAGCCAGTTGTCTGTTGAGTGAGGGTCAGGTTGTGTGAAGTGACCTTGCTTTCTCAGCCAGTTGTCTGTTGAGTGAGGGTCAGGTTGTGTGAAGTGACCTTGCTTTCTCAGCCAGTTGTCTGTTGAGTGAGGGTCAGGTTGTGTGAAGTGACCTTGCTTTCTCAGCCAGTTGTCTGTTGAGTGAGGGTCAGGTTGTGTGAAGTGACCTTGCTTTCTCAGCCAGTTGTCTGTTGAGTGAGGGTCAGGTTGTGTGAAGTGACCTTGCTTTCTCAGCCAGTTGTCTGTTGAGTGAGGGTCAGGTTGTGTGAAGTGACCTTGCTTTCTCAGCCAGTTGTCTGTTGAGTGAGGGTCAGGTTGTGTGAAGTGACCTTGCTTTCTCAGCCAGTTGTCTGTTGAGTGAGGGTCAGGTTGTATGAAGTGACCTTGCTTTCTCAGCCAGTTGTCTGTTGAGTGAGGGTCAGGTTGTGTGAAGTGACCTTGCTTTCTCAGCCAGTTGTCTGTTGAGTGAGGGTCAGGTTGTGTGAAGTGACCTTGCTTTCTCAGCCAGTTGTCTGTTGAGTGAGGGTCAGGTTGTGTGAAGTGACCTTGCTTTCTCAGCCAGTTGTCTGTTGAGTGAGGGTCAGGTTGTGTGAAGTGACCTTGCTTTCTCAGCCAGTTGTCTGTTGAGTGAGGGTCAGGTTGTGTGAAGTGACCTTGCTTTCTCAGCCAGTTGTCTGTTGAGTGAGGGTCAGGTTGTGTGAAGTGACCTTGCTTTCTCAGCCAGTTGTCTGTTGAGTGAGGGTCAGGTTGTGTGAAGTGACCTTGCTTTCTCAGCCAGTTGTCTGTTGAGTCAGGGTCAGGTTGTGTGAAGTGACCTTGCTTTCTCAGCCAGTTGTCTGTTGAGTGAGGGTCAGGTTGTGTGAAGTGACCTTGCTTTCTCAGCCAGTTGTCTGTTGAGTGAGGGTCAGGTTGTGTGAAGTGACCTTGCTTTCTCAGCCAGTTGTCTGTTGAGTGAGGGTCAGGTTGTGTGAAGTGACCTTGCTTTCTCAGCCAGTTGTCTGTTGAGTGAGGGTCAGGTTGTGTGAAGTGACCTTGCTTTCTCAGCCAGTTGTCTGTTGAGTGAGGGTCAGGTTGTGTGAAGTGACCTTGCTTTCTCAGCCAGTGTCTGTTGAGTGAGGGTCAGGTTGTGTGAAGTGACCTTGCTTTCTCAGCCAGTTGTCTGTTGAGTGAGGGTCAGGTTGTGTGAAGTGACCTTGCTTTCTCAGCCAGTTGTCTGTTGAGTGAGGGTCAGGTTGTGTGAAGTGACCTTGCTTTCTCAGCCAGTGTCTGTTGAGTGAGGGTCAGGTTGTGTGAAGTGACCTTGCTTTCTCAGCCAGTTGTCTGTTGAGTCAGGGTCAGTTGTGTGAAGTGACCTTGCTTTCTCAGCCAGTTGTCTGTTGAGTGAGGGTCAGGTTGTGTGAAGTGACCTTGCTTTCTCAGCCAGTTGTCTGTTGAGTGAGGGTCAGGTTGTGTGAAGTGACCTTGCTTTCTCAGCCAGTTGTCTGTTGAGTGAGGGTCAGGTTGTGTGAAGTGACCTTGCTTTCTCAGCCAGTTGTCTGTTGAGTGAGGGTCAGGTTGTGTGAAGTGACCTTGCTTTCTCAGCCAGTTGTCTGTTGAGTGAGGGTCAGGTTGTGTGAAGTGACCTTGCTTCTCAGCCAGTTGTCTGTTGAGTGAGGGTCAGGTTGTGTGAAGTGACCTTGCTTTCTCAGCCAGTTGTCTGTTGAGTGAGGGTCAGGTTGTGTGAAGTGACCTTGCTTTCTCAGCCAGTTGTCTGTTGAGTGAGGGTCAGGTTGTGTGAAGTGACCTTGCTTTCTCAGCCAGTTGTCTGTTGAGTCAGGGTCAGGTTGTGTGAAGTGACCTTGCTTTCTCAGCCAGTTGTCTGTTGAGTCAGGGTCAGGTTGTGTGAAGTGACCTTGCTTTCTCAGCCAGTTGTCTGTGTCTTTACATCAAACAAGCCGCTGTCTATGTGGGGAGGTAAATAGATATCTTCCTCTTGAGGTTATCTTGAGTTATCTTGAGATGATTTCGGGGCTTTTTAGTGTCCCCGCGGCCCGGTCCTCGACCAGGCCTCCACCCCCAGGAAGCAGCCCGTGACAGCTGACTAACACCCAGGTACCTATTTTACTGTTAGGTAACAGGGGCATAGGGTGAAAGAAACTCTGCCCATTGTTTCTCGCCGGCGCCTGGGATAGAACCCAGGACCACAGGATCACAAGTCCAGCGTGCTGTCCGCTCGGCCGTCCGTCTAGATGTAGGTAGATATCTCGTGCTTGGCAGAGCTTAGCTCCCGGTTCCCGCATGTATAGTACACTTGAGACATTGAGCAGGATAGCGGTAGATAGATCACTTGTCGAGAGGTTCTCGCAGCCAGATTAGACCCATCCCAGGCTACTTCTATGTTGAGGGTTTTTCTGAGATGATTCGGGGCTTAGCGTACCTGCGGCCCGGTCCTTGACCAGGTTTCCTTTTGTTACCCCCCCCCCCACAAGGAAGCAGCCCGTAGCAGCTGTATAACTCCCAGGTACTAGGTGAACAGGTGCATCAGGGTTTAAATAAACTGTCCCTCATTTGTTTTCCGCCTCCACCGGGGAACGAACCCGAAACCTCAGGATTACGAATCCGAAACGCTGTCTACTCAGCTGTCAGGCCCCTGACAGCCCGGGTGGGGACTCTGTCAGCCATAACCCCTCTCCCCCCCCCCCCCCTCCTTCTCTATCAAACTTACTCTCAGAGACTTTACTTAGTGAACTTGTAAGCTGACTTATAGAGTTCCAACTTAGGTGATGTGTGATGTTGAGGTGTAGTGAGACGTATAGTGCCCTCAGTGTCTTGTGTCGTGACTCAAGTTGTGTATTGTTAACATAGTCAACATTAAGTGAAATGGGAGCCGGTCGGCCGAGCGAACAGCACACTGGACTTGTAATCCTGTGGTCCCGGGTTCGATCCCGGGCGCCGGCGAGAAACAATGGGCAGAGTTTCTTTTACCCTATGCCCCTGTTACCTAGCAGTAAAATAGGTACCTGGGTGTTAGTCAGCTGTCACGGGCTGCTTCCTGGGGGTGGAGGCCTGGTCGAGGACCGGCCGCGGGGAACACTAAAGCCCCGAAATCATCTCAAGATAACCTCAAGATGATGAAGTATAAGACCCACAAGAGTCATATATAATTAACTTATTTGTGTAAATTGTCTTAAATTGTGATCCAAAGATCTTGGATTTTGAGACCTAGAGTGACGAGCACTCTGAAGCTTACTGGCTTAAGACTTTGATCTAAAGATTCTTGGTTATAAGCGTTATATGATATAGCGGATATATGATAACATCAGGTAATGTTGTTGTTGGGAGCAAGCCAGCTGTGGTTGTACTAGGTGGTGTGGAAGCAAGCCAGGTGTGGTGTGGGAGCAAGCCAGGTGTGGTGTGGGAGCAAGCCAGGTGTGGTGTGGGAGCAAGCTAGGTATTGGGGACATGTGATCATTAAGGC